TAAGTGATTCCCCCAGTCCCCATCCCCAGATGAAGTGTCCCAGCACCCAGCAAGCCAGCTCTCTCTCTCTCCTGCACGTGGCCCCTTTCGTGGTCAGCCCTCACCTCACATGTCCATCCCACGTGACTCACACTCCATCATCTCATCCCCTTTCAGAGATGCTGTTAAGAGATGCTTTCGACCTTTGTGCCTTTTTTCTTCAATTTTTTCTTCTACATCTTCACATCCCTCTTTTCTCCAGTGATAAAACATACACAGGTGAATGCAGGGTAGAAATGCATACCCCAAGGCTCTCCAAAGTCACCTGCTGTATGTCTCGCACCTCATCTGAGGCAGGGGTCAGAAAACTTGCAAACGAGTTCTTACCTGATTGGGGCTGTCAGAGCAACACGGTTTTAAGATACAGCAAAAACACACTTTCTACTTGGCAAAACTACTTTTGTATTTCAAACTCATTTGGGACGTCAGATTCAGGTATTTGCCATTTTGAGAACACATGATCTGAGCTATTAAATGAGAAAAAAAGAAAGAAAAATGAGAAAAAAAAAAAGAAAATGAGAAAAAAGAAAAATTCTGATGGCAGTCCCTACTGCCATCAGAATTATCTCCAACAGTGGCAAAATGGAAAAAGAAAGCACACCCTCCAACTCACAGGGTATTAATAGCTCAGTGCTATCCTTGTGGACATAAAGCAATGGCTTCCATCTTTCAGGAAAGGAGTGACTAGAAAAAAGGGGACTTTATAGACTTTCTCTCCTTAGAAATTGGTCAAGGGTCAAGAATGACCAAATACTGTGCAGGAAGACATAACTAATTTATGTTATCAAAGCTATAAATGTGTATTACTTTTCTTATCTAAAATTTCTAAAGTGCTTATACACGTCTTGCCTGACTTTTTTCTCATTTTGATTTACGACTGGGGCTTCAAAGCCTGGAATTTAAAGGACTTGGCTTCAACCGTTATTGAACTTCTGATATTCAACTCGGAACAAGTACCCCAAATGAAACCTCTTCTGTACAAAGTGCTTAAGCAAAACAAGTTAGAATTTCCATGGAAACAGCCTAGAATTCTTGAAGGAGAAGAGAGGACAAAAGTAAGCATGAAAATGCACTTATTTATTTTTTGGTTCCTCTTCACCTCTGCCCCTTCAAACCTCAGGCTATCATCTTAATGAACATTCTCAAGCCTCAGAGGGAATTAAGAAGAACAATATTTGACAGGAGTGAGGAAGGAGCTAAATATAACTCCCCTGTGAGAGAAATGAATTCCAGAATCTTCTCTTTTCCCCTTCCTTCCCCTCTCTGGGCAATCTTGCCATCTTCCAGTGTTATTTTTGTGCCGTTCCTGTTGCACAGCAATTTTAGCTGTTACTTGGTTGGGACCAAATGAAGATAACATCATAAGATATGGTTTTGTCCTCCTTTGGAAGGGTCTTCCATATGAGAAAATAACAAAGGACCAGCTTCCAAATTAATATTGTATATATTCCCTCGCTATAATTTCCATTTGCCTAACAGTTCAGAATTTTTAAAATGTTCTCATATATAATTAATTCATTTAATCAACAATGTGAGAGGTAGACAGAGCCACTGTGTTGGATGCTATCAACTCACATCTTACCAGCATGAACTGCTTCAAGATCACCCTGCTGGTAGGCAGAGGAACCAGGACTCAGCTGGCTCTTTGCTTTTCAGACCCATTGGTTTCTGTACCTCCTCAAATACAACTGGCCTGCCTGACCACTGTGGACATTAGGCCATGGCTACACTCCCCTTTTAATTAGATATTAAGAACTTTTACTTATTTATAGATATATAGCCTAGTATTAGAAAGTAAAAATCTTGCCCTCTTTCCTACTGCTAATATTGATGTTAACATAGATCAGAAATACCCCCAGGAAACGTACAGCCAAGGGTAGGTGGGTTTTCCGCTTTCCTGAGTGTGGCTATTTTTGACAAGCTTTTCCCAGAACCCTCTGACCTATTCTTCACTGATATATTAAAGTTTCGTTCTAGAATTCAGCAATCGATATATGGCTTATTGAGGTCAAAAGTGACCTTTCACAAATCTGAAAAATTAAAGGTAGAATGTGTCTTTTGGAGTAAAATAACCCTTGATGCACTGACTGAATTAAGTAGCTTAGAAATTATTTTGCAGATCCCAAGACAGTACCTTGAAGGTGTGTAATATTCCTGCCTGGGAAAAAGTTGGTCTTTATTTTCCTTTGGAAAATTAGAGACCATTAACATTTGAGATTAAGATGGCTCTAAAAAGAGTACTACTGGTCATCATAAAGAAGAAAGCATGATAGAGTCTGTTATCACAACTTTCTACTGCTCCTAATTTTCGCAAAGGAATGGAGTTCAATAAAAGACATTGTATCACAGGTTTGGTAAATGTTAAGACCAAGGGACCGACTAACAATCCATTCCATAATTAACGTAACATATACACTTTAAGACAATCAATATGCATTTGACAATCAGTCAAATGAATTTTGTCATCAAAATGAATTTGATGTTCTAATCCACGTTATCAGAGACTGCCACATCGATGTGCACAAAAATTTAAAAATGAACACATTCCAAAAGGTGACTTCCTGTTTGATTAGCTTTTACTGTAGGGTATGACGAATACTACCAGTGACCATTTGAAGAGCTGACTCCGTATCTGGCTTTGGGCCAAGTCGTTGATATACTTTAATATCTAAATAACCATGTGAGACCAGGATTACTGTCCCAATATTATAGAAATCAGTGAAAACCTCACCCCAAAGCTGGATAACAAAAAGCAACCTACTCCATTCATATTGCCGGCAAATGGTGGATTCTAACACCACACCTCAGTTTACCCAACTCCAGCTTCGGATGGACTGGCCCCCTCTGCAACCCACTCTTCTGAGCGACCGTTAGTTAAGCGATTTCCAGTGACATGAATAGTCCTTTAGGGTTCACTGTTGGAGGAAGACCTAGATCATTTGTTGAATATAAGAAAGATGCTGGGTTAATAAAATTTACTTAAAAAGTATAAAAACAGGGCATCTGGGAAGCTTTCTGCTCACCCAAAATGTTACATGTAAATCATGGTCATTAATGCAAGTTAAAAGGAGAAATCGTCCTACCCTTACGACAAAATTAGAAACAATCAATGCAACAGAAGTTTTTAAAAATTATATTTAATACAAGTGAATAGATTAGAAGATCTGAAATGTTATAAAGCAATATACACAATGAATAAATAATTTGCACAGGAGAGTCATGTCTACATTACATAACACTGTCTAGTATGGGAATACTTAAAGTAAATCCAGTGATAATGGAGAAAGTCCATAAAAATGCTAACCTGTCTTCCCTTGTATGAAATTGTTCAAGTATAAAAATCCAATACAGTGTAAAATAGTATTCAATTTAGTTTAAGAATAAAAATTGCAAATATTGCAGTTTCGGAAGAAAAAAGTAAAGCAGCATTTTAAAACTGCACAAACTATGTAAGAATAGTGTCACGCTAATGAAATACCAATAAATGAGATCTACACGAGCAAAACTTAGAGAAGGAAGCATGAAACTAGCAGTATCTCTCATTTAAAAAAAAAAAACCTAAAAACAAAAATAAATTAAAATGTGTTAATGTAAGAGTATTCTCTTATACAGTGCACATATGAATTTAAATAAATCCAAGTCAACATCTTTCGTTGGATAGGTTAATATTTAATATGCTACATCTAGACCTACTAAATAATTTATGCCATGAGATGAATACATAATTTTACAGTGTCACATCTAAAGTTCCTTTCTTTAGAGTGCAGCATAGTAAAACTTAAAAATAAATATCTTAAATAGCATTACTATTAAGGCACAGTATAAACCACATTATCGTTAACCTTTGAAGAACTGTAATCTCGGTCACCTTGTTGTCTCGTGTACTGTGTTCACTAATAAATAGTTTTAAATATGACTCTGAAATAGATACTAAAAAGTGTAAAATTATTTAAAAAGGGAGGGGGGGGGAATAAACGTCCTTAAGACAGTTCTTAAGGGTTTAGAGTCTGCAAACTTTGCCTGCCTTTAATCGTAAGCCACGAGTCAACACAATCAATAGAAAGAGAAGGCTGTTGTAGTAAAAGCCTGATCCTAGTTCAGAATCAGAACTGCTGACACCAGCAGATACAAGTTTCCCAAAATTGAAACAGGATGGGGAGAGGGATTAGAATGTGACAAGCTCATCAAACAAGCACAAGTGATGTGTTCTTTCCAGAACTGTGTGTGTTATTGATTGTCTGTACAGCTGCTGCACCCATTAATTCCACATCACTTGCTCCACAGTCCCGCTCATCCGCAGGAGAGATGAGAAAATCGCTTTGGTGCCTGTCCACCATTTCACCCACTGCCACGCTCCCAGGTTGATTGTTCGATGCCCATTTTTTGAGAGAGTAAGAACGTGATCTTCTTACCTGAAAAAGTTCTAGAGGCCGTAGTGACTGCTTAAAAAAAATGACAATCAGTGCTTTCGCCATTGTGTGTGTGTGTGTGTGTGTGTGTGTGTTTTAAATCTGCTTTTAAAGTAATTCAAGCTACATATTGCTCGCTCTGTATTCCCTGGTTCGACTAGATTCAAAGAGCATCCCCTAACTTGTAAAAGGCAGTTTGCTTCCCTGATACTATAAAAAGAGCAAAAAATAAAAACCCCGTTTTGAAAGTGAAGTTCCACTGTTTACTCCCACTTTCCTCGACTCAGGCTCTCTTTGGGATCGATTTCCAAAACGGCGCCCACTCCCCTCTCTCTCTCATCTACGACACTACTGGAGTATAAAAAAAAAAAAAAGAAGAATTCTGCTTCACGAGAGCATAGCTTTGCTTTTTTTTTTTTTTTCTTTTTTTTTTGTCCCTCCTGAAAGTTGTGAGGTCGACGTTCACTCGCCTTACCTACGACACACCGGGCAATGCTTGGGGGGAGGGGGGAGGGGGAGGGGAAACGAGCCGGCTCCGGTCACGTGGCCGCCCTACTGCATGCGGTCGGTCTGCAGCTGCTGCGGCTGGTACTGGCCGAAGGCGGCGGCGGCTGCGGCGGCCGCGGCGGCGGCGGCTGCCGTCCCGGGGGCGGCGGCGGTGATTGGCTGCTGCACTGCGTAGCCGTAGCCCCCCGCGGTGACGTAGCCGGCGGCGGCCGGCGAAGCGGCGTACGGGTACTGGTCGTAGGCGGCGGCGGCGGCGGCGGCGGCGGCGGCCGCCGAGTACTGGGCGTAGGCGGCGCCCGTGTAGTCGATGTACGGGGTGGTGGAGGCGGCGGCGGCCGTGGGCTGCACGTGCGGGATGACCACGCCGGGCTGCACGAACGCCTGCGGGTACACGTAGTGGGCGGGGATCCTGCGGAGGAACCGGACAGCGGGTCAGGCGCCGCCGGCCTCCCGCCCGCAGCGCGGCGCGTCCAGAGATCAGACAGACTCAAATTTAGTGGTTATTACGAGCATAGGGTTGCCACAATATCTCCCCGCCCGGGGGTCCGCCCGAGTGCTCCGGCGGTAGCCGGCCTCGCGGAGCGCCCCGAAAGGAACTGAGCGAACAGAAACGGGGAAGGGGGGGTGCCCCTCCCTGCTGGAGGTCGGATTTAGGATCGGTTAAGAGCACCGGTGCTGATCATTCAGCAGAAGTTTGGCAAACCAGTTGCAGGTTCGGGAGGGCTGCGCACCGGAGAGGTAGTGGATACATGCTTAATTGATTTTTGAGACTTTTGGAAAATTTTGCAGCGAGTTCGTAAAACTGCAGCAAAGAGGGGGGGGGAATGCTCAGCGATGAATAGGATAAAGAGAGGACTCCAAAGGTAATCCGTGATCATTCAATTCGGGGCGGGGTGGGGGGGGGGGGAGGAGGGGGTTGGCCGATTTCCCAAAACTGAAATAAATTTTCCCACAAAATCCGTATGTTTATTATCATGGCAACCCTACTTGAAATTGCTTGGCAGACTCAGCACACATTAATCTCTCTGCAACCTCAGTCACCCTTATTAAAAATAATGATGATAAAAGAAGCAGGCGACAAAATTAAAAAAAAAAGTTTAAAAGTTCACAAGTGTGGTAAACACAGCAGAATCACACTTCTCAAACGAACTGTAGTGCAGCTCACTCTATCACAAGAGGCTGTTGTGGGAAGCTACAGAAATGCTATTAACATTCATGGCAGTGATTCCCAAAGAGATGTGCAGCACGCTTTTTGCCTTTCTTTCTTTCTTTCTCTCCATAAAATTCGTAAGGACATAAGGGTCAACCAAACCTGTTTGACTATCAGGCACCTGAAGGTCAGCCAGCTTGTTTATCTCTATGCAAGACAGACAGAAGGGGTTTTGGGGAAATGATGAGGTTGAGGGAAAAGGTAGGAATAGGAATAGCTCTAAAATTCATATAAACTTAAAAGGTTTACATAACAAAATGAATAAGGAAACATTTTTTTTTTGCACAAATACTAACTCTTGTTATATCCTCCTAATCAACAAGTAGATCAGCATGTTTGTTTTACATCTGCCCTACTCATAGATTTTTAATACATATACATATCAATTGTATTATGTATTATCCTGTAAAAGTTCAAGAAGCAACATCAAATACCTTTATAAATTACACGTTCAGAGATCACATACAAGACACATTCCAAGGACCTTACTTAAAAGTTAATTTTGTTAAAAAAAATCACAAGAGGTATTTAAAAAAAAACATGCATTTCAATTCTCACTCTTGCGATTCATTACTGCCCCTTTTAAATGCTACCATGAATATCTGATTTATTTTCATCTTTCATTAAAGCAATCTCCATCAGAACCCCCTATATTTCTAAAAATATGACACTCTAATGCCATCTGGTTGTTGGCTAAGCCAGCTTAACAGGAAGTACAAGCAACAAGTAACGATCCTTATTTTAAAGAATTTTAAAGAACTTAAGACCGAAAACTTCACATTCAGATTTCTGAAAACACAGATTTTTGCTTTGCCTTTTCAGAGTTTCACAGAAAGTCCTTACTAACCAACACCCATGGAAAAGATGAATTTATCACAGAGGGTGGTGAACTTTGACCCCAATGATAAAAATACACTCAATTTTACTAGACTTGTAGATCTTTCCCAGTGCCAGGAGAAAAGACGTCATCAAGTGTTTCTGAGGACACTTAGAGATGTTCTTAGCTGCTTGTCAGAAACCAGACGCACGGTCATACACACACTCCAGACTTTTTTTGTCTAGGTCAGGTGACTGACTCACTCACAGCGACAGGTGTGGCTTTATGAAACCCGTCCCCGGAGGCCACGGGGTCCGCAATGTGCAGACGCGGCAGGAGAGCCTCCACTCAAGGCGGTTTACACGTGGTGATGGACAGCAGGGGCTGCAGCCGGGCTATTTTTGATCCTGTCATGCGACAAGGGTTTCCAGCGGGCAAAATGTCTTTATAAGGCCAAAGTAAAACATCTATCAGTTGCGAAGTCCAGCCAGTATGAATCTCCCTGATACGGAAACATTAACTCCTGTACTCCCAGAGCTCTCAGGACCACAGGATGTTACCAGGTTTGTTATCTTTGAATGAAGGCTGGTAACTGAAAATACGTGTAGCCTACAAAAAGGCAGGATGAAGTCTGTGTGTGTGTGTGTGGAATGCACTAGAAGATAGGGCTGCTTATAGGACTCTTGTCTCTGCACTGATTTTACATTAATAGTTTTCATTTGATAATGCCAACCAATGAGAGTGCAGAGTTCCCTAGCATATCAGAACCCTACATGAAGTCTGGCAAGGGTTGGGAATACGTTTGGAAGGCACATGAAACCCCAGCAGCGTTAGAGGCTCCGGGAAAGGAAGAGTCCAGAAGATCCTGGACAGCCTAAAATACCTCGGTTTGGGAAGGAAAGCAGGAAAGGACCAAAGGCTAGGGTGGTGCCTCAGAAGCCATTCTTGCACCAGGAGGTCTCTGACTAGTTCAAGGAGCCCCTGAAGTCAATCTGGGAATCTGTCCCCCCATGAGATACCTACCAGTGTCCCCTCCCTCAGTCACACAGTGGGCATACCTCGAGGTTACAAAAGCACTTGGGCAACTGTCGAAGAACACTGACTACATTTTTCCTTTTCTTTTTTCTGATGTCTCTCTGCGACTTTTGACACCCTAACTGGTTTCCTCTTCCATTCTATCACCAGACTGCTGGCAAAGTCTTCATTTTATTCGCCTGTTTAGTAACCTGTGGCCCCACTGGCATACTAGGCCTTTAATGCTTCTGGCTCCAAAACATTCCTTCCAGCACCTTTCCACCTTTCCTCGAACCCAGGTCAGCTGGACTCCTCCGCGTTCCCTGGACAAGCCACACGTTTCCAGATCTTCACGTTTTTGCTCATGCCGTCCCTCTGCCAGGGAAGCCAATCCTCGTTCCATCTATACTTGTTAAAATCCAAATCCTATCCACCCAGCTCTAGCACTCACTATGTACAGAGCCTGCAGGAGTTTGGATCACATTCTGGTTTCACATTTCTCATATGTGACATGAATCCAGTATTTCCAACCCTGAATTGCTGTGCATTAAATAACATTATCTATGCACGGAGCCCACAGTGATGAATAAAGTAGGCACTCAATGCAAAAGAACCTTATCTTCCACCATCCTTTAAAAATCTAGGTCAGCTTCTACCTCTTTCATGAAGACTTCTTGGGTCCCACGAACCTGATGTCTCTCCTCCCTGTCTGAAGCCACAACCCTTCTGGGGGCTTCTCAGTTTCCTTACTAGATAACAGGGGAGAACGGAATTGTGTCTTTCTGGCTATAACTTGACAGAGAAAAGAACACGGCTTTTGAGATCAGGGAAACCATGATTCTGAACCTAGAACTAAACTCTATTCCTTACTAGCCCTGTGGCAAGTTAATTAACCTCTCTGTATCTGTTTTGTCACCCCTGGAAAGGACATTCACAGGCTGACATGAACAGCCTGAGTCACAGACGTATTGTGAGAAGTACATGATTTATGTAAATCTCTTACTAGTACCGTGCATGTAGGATAGGTTCACTTAATGTTACTGCCCCTCCTGCCCCCTTAGCGAATAGCAGAGTATCTAGTACAGTGTAAACACAACTAGCATAAAACTGAGCACTTAAGGGGCATCTGGGTGGCTCAGTCAGTTAGGCTTCTGCCTTCAGCTCAGGTCGTGATCTACAAGTCCTGGGATCGAGCCCTGCATTGGGTTCCACACTCAGCCAGGAGTCTGCTTCTCCCTCCCGTTCTGCCCCTCCCCACCCCTCGCTCCCTCTCTCTCTCTCTCAAATAAATAAATAAAATCTTCAAACCCCTCCCCACCCCAGAAACCCTGACCACTTAAAGGTATACTGAATAAACATTTACCTGATCTAAACCAGCCTCGAATTTTCTACTCTCAGATGCATAGTCTTTCCTCTCTAAGGTTTCAATGAGAAAATGCTTCTTGCAAACAAAGTATTTCTGAGACATTTCTTAGCAAATGCACCAGTATCCATACACCTGCCCACTGTGTTACATCAGAAATTCCTTCAAGCCAAGATTTTCTCTTGAAAAGCCCAGAATCATCTGGGGGCCAATGAAGGACCACATAAAAAAAAATTAGTTCAGTTACTACAATTTCAAACCAATCAAGTAAGATTAAAAATTCTCAAGCTTCTTTCCAGGCCTAAAATAAGAATCTGTGGCATTCCAACAGAATTGAGGATGACCAGGTGTGATCTGTTAGGTACAGACTCTGGGAATTACAGCAGTGTTAAAAACCCCTTAAAAAAAGAAAAGAGAAGGTTCACTTGGTCCTCCTGGAATGCTATCTATTTCTAATAAGAATCTCAAGTTCAAACAATTTAGGCAAACAGTAGTAATCACCATCCTTTATAAAGACAGCTTAATATTAGCAGGGATGAACAATAAAGTTACTATCAAAGCATGCTTGATTTAAAATTTCCATAGGACATTTTATTCTCGTCATTCTTATTTTCCTCGTGATACTTTCTTTCTCAAGGATCGATGCAGACTACAACAGCCAGTCCAAATTTCTACGTTGAGCTCTCCATATCCTCAATAAAGTTTGGTGTCTCCATGCCCTAAATCTTTCCTCCTCTCTGTCTTTGCTTAAGCTCAACTCACCCCTTAGCCCTCCTTACCTGTCCAGACATACCACTGGTCCAAGACTAGTTCAAGTTCCATGAAGCCTTGTCCAACCTCTCCAATTCACCTGTTTTCTGGCTATTCTGAATTCTTTTTGTCCTAAATACCAAGTATCTTAGCAATTAATCATTCTTGATTGGTGTGTATTAGTTTTGTAGTCTCCTTATTTTGTATCATCTACTCAGCACAGCGAAACATAAACACATGCGAATACCTGTTGATCGATTTAGCTGTGTAACTGTTTCAAGATTATTATTGTGAGATCACGACTAAGTTCATCACCACTTGTTAGGATGTATGTTCTCCTCCCCATTCCCACCTTCCACGTAGTCTAGACCAACGAGGAGAGGATCTACAGACGTAAATGGACCCATCAACCCACCATTTGTTGTGAGTACCCGGGATGGCTGGGATAGGGCACTGATAGATAGCTATGGAGATATGAAGGTCCTTTCTAATCATATTGGACAGAACACTCTTCCATGGTTTAAAAAAGTAAGGGTTGGCGGTAAGGTGAGGAATCCCTATGTTAAAGGGAGGGTTTTAAGAAGGTATCCATAGGGGCGCTTGGGTGGCTCAGTGGGTTGAGCCTCTGTCTTCGGCTCAGGTCATGATCTCAGGGTTCTGGGATCGAGCCCCACATCGGGCTCTCTGCTCGGCGGGGAGCCTGCTTCCCTCTCTCTCTCCCTGTCTGCCTCTCTGCCTACTTGTGATCTCTCTCTGTCAAATAACTATATAAAATCTAAAAAATAAAAAAAAAAGAAGGTATTCATGGAAAACAACTTGACCCTTCCAAGTCAAATGATTATTACTCTATCCTTGGAGACACATCAGGCAGATATCTGTCTGTCTGTCTGTCTATCTAGAATCTGACCTTCTCAGGTTACACAGATGTTTAGGTGCTAAGCTAGAGAAGAAAATATACCTGAGGATAAAACACTTCTTGAACAACTAGAATATTTAAAAAGGGAGCTGAAACCTCTAAAACTGGAGTTCTAGCAATGTCATTCAGGTAGAATGCACCTCAAACAGACTCTAAGGGGTCAGAGTAAATTTAGGTGGTAGGGATTGCCCACTTACGGTGTCCAAACAGAAGGGAAAAAAAGGCACTCAGAGGAGGAAAGCTGGTATCACAGAGCCCAAAGGCAACAACAAGATGAGCAGCCTTTTCATCTGAGTTAGGTCTGAACGGTGGAAGTTAGTGCCACTCGACTCCAAAAACTGGCTAGTGTCAGTGAAATCTGATGAGTGTTTGTTGAATCTTTAAATGAGAAGGCCTAAAAGTGGATACACATTGCCAAAGAGCCCCATTCCCAGAAAACTCCCCAGTAAAACAGAAACTTAGGACATGCAAGCAATGAAATCTGTATTCTCACAGAGGGAAATCACACCATTTAGCACTCACTACAAAAATATGGTTAAGTGGAAGTCACAGGCTACAGCTTAAAAGCAAGGAGAAAAAAAAAAAGGCCCTTTGCTTCCCATGGCAAAGTCAAAAGTCAACACTCCTCAACACCACCACCAACATCAAAAACACAAAGAGCCCCTTCCCCGAGGAAAAGAAAACACTTTCACTACAGCTCTTTTCAATTAAGTAAAAAGCACACAGTTTAGCTATCAACACCACTTCATTACTGTAATAAATAAAAATAAAGCACACGGAGGTCTATTGACTATTGTGAAAAATAAAACAACAACACCAACATCATGCATCGTTAATCACCATCTGAGCTTGTGTGTCTGAGTCTACTGGTTACAGAGTTTAATTCCAAACAGAACTATTCCACCTCTTACATCGTATCCTTCTGATCAGTTAGCTTAACTGTATACGAGCCCTGTCAGGTTAGAAAGAGATAAATAACATTGAGTCAAGTTGAACAGTAATCACGGTCTGGGACACAATCGTCTCGTACACAAGTCATACCTGGTAGTTTTGTTTTGTTTTGTTTTGTTAATCATAAGCTCAAAATGTGTCTGGTTTGGAGGCTGCAAACTTGGTCAGTAACTTGACTCATCTAAAAATATTTATATTATCAGCATCAAAAAGGTACAAACGTTTATAAATATGTATCACAAGGAACATTCTGTGACACGATGATCTTGTCTGCATGTAACAGGCAGGTTTACAGATGAAACCTATGGAAACTTGGGAGGGCATGATGAGTTGACTTACCCAAAAGGTCTCTGTATGAGGGCCGGATGAAGCTGTTGAACACCGAAGGCAAAACCTAGCAATAAAACATACCACATTCTCTATTTGTGCATGGTTAGGCATGCATTACTCCTACATATAAAATGCAATCACAACTTTCCCTTAGAGAAGATCATCATTCTTTTGAGGCCTTATAATGATAAACATTATATATAAAAATATTATATATATTACAACCATAAATATATATTTAAAAGTTCTTTTTACTAATGTTATCATTATAAACGTATATTATAACTAACTAACTAAATATATATATTTAAAAGTTCTTTTTACTAATGTTATCATGGACCCAAGTAAAAATTTTAATAAGCTACAGGTGGATACTAAAAATTATCTGCAAAGTTTGACAGTCCCACAAGAAGACCTTAGAAAATCAGACCAGGGAAAAATTCTCATGGAATGAAACCAGGAACAACAGGACTTGATAATGAAGTTACATGTCACAAATATTCCTGCAGTTCTGAATCATGATCTATAAAAAGTTTTTGTAATTTGGAACATGCTGGACAATGCTTTGGAAGATTATGGGTTTTACAGATTATGGTATTAAAAAATTCACGAAAACAAAGTCTCCTTTTCGGGATAGCACACACACAAACACAAGTTGTTGGTTTTTTTTTTTTTTTTTAACACAAGTGTTTTAATGTTCACGGATGTGGGCACATGTGCTCACTTTCTTGACAATCTAGTTCCCTAGTAAATCCATTTTACTAGGATGGAAGTGTCAACCATCCCAAAATTTCAGATGGCAACACTTGAGTAAAGAGGGAAATAACTTAACAAAACCAAGTTGCTCACCCAAGAAAAAGATTCCCATTTGCTCAGCAGTCAACTCTTAATTATTTGTGCTAATGGCAAGGGCAGTGTTGTAAATAATCAAAAAGGTCAAATTTTCACATAGATAAAAGCCTGCTTCCCTTCTGACCACTTTGGAGTAAAACATTTCCCATCTCTACATGTCAGTTTCTTTATCTGTTACAGGAGGACCCAGGCATACTGAAATCTTCCCCATTTTCTTTAACTACTGAGTAGTCCGTGATTTAATATTAAAGCTTTACCATCCAGACGCCATCCCCTAACCCCTACCCCCAGGCTTCTCCTGGTCAGAGTTCAAGTTGGATTGCCGCTCTGAGGACAGGGCCATGGTGGTAGAAGGAGAGACAACAGTATGTAGGGAAGTATAACCAGTGGGAGGTGACACATTGAGCCCACATAATCCACATGTGAATGATCTACAAGTGGCTAAAAACTGGACAATAAAAGAGTAGACTGTGACTGTATGTCATACCTGAAACAGATGAGTCAAGCCTAAGTCTGGGTGGGTACAAACTGTCCAGACCCCCAAGATCTACTTTTGCACATAGGTACATTTCAAGTCCTGCAAGAGCCGGTGACAACACTCATTTAATGTGTTGGTTAAAATAACCAGCCTGGTTCAACTTTACTAAACATCTACAGTGTCTTCTGAATCAGGGATTCCTTCTATTCAGAAGCTGGGGTGTGGGGGGAGGGGGTCTCAAGTTGGGTGTGGGTGGGTAGGAGGAACATTTCTCACCTGGTTGCATGATCCTTGGTTTTGCGCCCAGGTATGCCAGATTCACGTTGGCTTTCCTGCCATCAATGATGGGGTTCGGGTCCTTGCAGGCTCTCTCAGCAGCAGCTCGGTCAGCCATGGTGACCTTAGCAACATACACACACACACACACACAGACATACGTACAAAGCTCTAAGTCAACCCCCCGAAGGAAACCAAGAATCACCCTGGAGAAGTCATTCATGAGAAAACTAAGGGGGTTCTTAAACTTTTCCTCTTTCCGTTTCTTTCTCCCCGCCCCCCCTGGAACTTACTCCTGGATTCCCCCATCAAAAGAAAAGAAAAGAAAAGAAAAAAAAAAAAAAAACAGAGAGGAAGAAAGAAACAACCCCCTCCCCATACTTCAAAAGTCTTCAGGGCGCTAGTAGGGCCTAGCAGGGAGTTGGAAGCCTGAATTCCGTCTTGGAACTCTAGATCCTCCCGCCCCCGACCGCCTCCCACCCCCCAGGTCCCTACCCAGCCTAAGAGGCACTGTTTGCTTTAAAGAAAGTCCAGCCTCACATCCGCCCCGTGCTCCCAACCACCAGCAAGCACTCCCTAACGACAATAGCTATTGTCCTACTCTGGAGCTCCCCGCTCTCCGGCAGCTGAATTCGCACGCTTAAATCCCCAGGAGGCTTAATATGCTCTCTTTCAGTTCAGCAAAGAGCCAGAGGTTCATCTTTTTAAAGAATCCATCTTTGCAATTAAAAAAAAAAGTGGGGGGATGGCATAAGGAGTAGAGCCCTAGACCTCCTGGGGTGTCCCCTCCCCGCCCCAGCCAGAACGCCTGAAGACAGCACGCATTTTTACAAAGCAACAGCGCGCTTAACCACCGGCCTCCCACCCCCAAGTGCGATTCCGAGGGGCTGCGGCCCCTCCCTCCCAGCCCTGCGCACCCGCAAATCCAGCAGTGGTTAGTGCTCTCCTTCCACCCCCGCTCCGCCGGTCCCCCCGACACCGCAGGGCGCTGGGTCCCCTCGAAACCCCGCGAGGGAGCAGCCGGCCCTCCCTTCTCCAGCTCCGCCGCGCGCAAACTTTCAGTTCAGCCGGGAGCAAAGGGGCAGCGCCGCCCCCGTCCGCGGGGTTCCTCACATTGTCACGCCGAGCCCCCCACTGCAAACCCCGACCCCCGAGGCCCTGCGCCGCCCCGAGCCTACCCGCCACCCGCAGTCCTCGGTTTCCCCGCCGCCCTTTGTCGCCCCCACCTCCCCCTCCCCAACCCCACCCCAGCCCCCAGCCGCACAACTTACAAATCCGTAGCCCCGGGACTTGCCCGTCTGCCGGTCGGTGATGACCACCGCCTCCTCGATCTCGCCGAAGACCTCGAAGTACTTGCGCAGGCTGGCGTCGGTGGTGTGGTAGGGCAGCCCCCCGACGAAGATCTTGGTGTACGTCGTGTCCTTCTGGGTCGTGTGCATCTTCGCGCCCGCTCCGCGGCTCGGGCTCCGGCTGCGGCTGCGGCTGCGGCTCGAGCAGCGGCTGCGCCTCCTCCTCCCGCTCCGCGTCTGCCGCACCCTTTCGCGGCCGCCGGGGGCCAAGGGCGAGCGCGGGGGCGAGGGCGGCGGCGCGGCGGGGGCGAGCGGCCGGGGGCGGCCGAGGGCGCGGGGCGCGCGGCTTCCGAAGTCGCCAGCAGCCCCGGAGACTTGACTTCTCTCTCTCCTCCCGCCCCCCCTGCCGGTCACGGTACAAATTCTCCGGATCGTCTGGGTTAGGATCTTGCTCTATAGAATGTGCAAGCGGTTTCCACTCACCCGGCTGGGAGGCCAAAAATGAAAAGAGAGGGTGGTCCTCGAGCGAAGAAGCGGGCGCGTTTAGAGGTAGATTTTTTTTCCTTCTTGAAAAATTAGGTAGGTGTCTTGGGTGGGGCGTGGGTAGGGTCGGCGGTGAGCGCGTCCGGGCGCGGAGGTGGGCGGGCGGGGGGCGCGGCGGCTGGGCCGGGGGTGGGGGACTCCGCGCCGCTGGGGCTCCGGTTCTGTCCCTCCCGCCGCGGAAGCTGGAAGACAAGTGGCTAGGACTGCTTTCCACCTCTCTGCTCCCTTCCCCCGCGGGCCGGGGGTCGGCGCCCGGCTGGGGAGGGGGCGGGCCGGACGCCTGCGATTGGCCGCGGCCGCACCTGGGGTGCCCGGCGCCGCCGCCCCCCAGCTGTTGGGAACAGCTGCTTCTCTCCCGGCGCGGCGCTGGGCCGCGGGGCTCGGGCTCTGGAGCCGGCGCTGGGGCAGGGCTGGGGATGGCCCGAGGCGGCCTTGCTCTCAGCGTCGCCTGCTCTAACCCGTCAAAGTCCTAGGGACTCGGCACGGTCCTAGCCGGGACCCGGAGCGCACACACTGCGTCCGGAGGGAGCTGCGTCGCTTTTCCAAAACGGCGACGCGAGCTCTTTGCGCTGGGCCACGGTGACAGGGCCGGCGACCTGGACTGACGAGCTGGGGGCCGGGAGGCCTGGGGCGGTTCGTGGAAACGCCAGTTCCTCGCCGGGCGGGGAGGGCCGGCGAGCTCGGCCAGCGGAACCCGGGTCTGATAGTCTGGGGTGTGGAGAGTGAGTAGGAGGGTCCCCAATCTTCCTTGTCCCCCAGAGAGCCAGTGCTGGAGAGAACCGGCGAGGCAGAGCCAGAAGGGGGTAAAAAAATACAGGTCTAGTGCTTGGGTGTGCTGGAGAAAACCATTAGCTTGAATTGCTCACGGCCCCAGCCAAGCGAAGTAACCGTAGACACCGCCTTTTTTTTCAGAGGACCATAAATTAGTACTTTAGCCCCTACAGTTATCAAATTTGTGTTTCCTCCCTACTTACTCCTCCCTAACTATTCGGGGAGATTTGGTACCGATTTCTCATTATAAATCCTCTTGTTTTTCTTTCCCGAAGCATTTCCTTCCTTTTGAATTGCAGGACTGTTCAGTGACTCGACCTCAACTGTTTTACTAGGATGTACTGTAATTGTAAAAAGGGTGATTTTTGAAATCGACTTGTTACATAACCACTGGTTTCTACCAGCAGACCTTTAAAGCCTTTGTAGAAAATACAGACTTGAGTGCAACCCCTATATATTTATTTTTTTAATATCAGCATTTGCAACTTTTTTTTTTTTATCAAGAGTACATTCAATTAAGCATAAAATCCTTGTCCTATCTGAGGTTTGGATGAAGGTATTTAATGTGAGCAGAATGTTCCCCCCCATCCCTTTTGGAGCATGAATTGCTTTTAAGTCATTTCCTTCAGGAGCGTCTGCTGAAGTCCATGCATTAATTGCCCCTGGGCTGCACCATTTATTCCCTTTAAAGCAGGTCAGTATGTTAACCTATTAGAGAAGCACATATGTGTGTTTCTGTTTCCAGGGCACCTTTGCAGTCAGCCCAGAAGGATGAGATAAACTGCATCTGCCGAAGGGAACGGGAACGCACATATCCTGGAGCTTTTCACCTTGTTGCCTTTTGCGTGAAGTTGGCCTTTTGGGGTCGTGAGTTCCTTTAAGTTTGAACCCCCAGTGGGTGATATGGAGAAAGAAAAAATCTAAAGGTTTTTGGAGAATTTTTTAAAAATCCAGTTGAAGAAAAACAAGGTACTTTACAGGCATATGAGAGCCAGAAAGGGAAATTGTAAATAGCACTCTCTCCTATTGCTTAAGCAGAGTACGCTTCAAAGGGACTCTGTGTACTGGTGTGATGAAAGGTAATTTTTAAAACTTAGAGAAACAAAGCAGCCTATGAAACAAAGGAGGCATGTTTTTTAATATTCAACATCCATCTTGCTGGGTCACTGAAGAATTACTGTAGTTAGGATGAGGCTCAGGCAAAAACTCTTTTGTGAGGGAGAAGCTATTACAGAGAAGCCTGGGGGAGAAGAGTGATGTTGGCGATCTCACCTCTCTTCCTACCTGGATGAGGAGCCCACCCCGGAGGGAACTGTGATAATATCAGGGATGAAGGGTGTCTGGGAATGTAGCCAGCAGCTTGGATATTCACTAAGTAAAGTGGTGAGATCTATTAGGAAATTCTGATCCCAGGTTGGGATCGCCGTGACATAGAACTCGGCTTCTGGAAACAAGATGCTTCCCTGCCGTGGTCCCAGAGAAAAGAATTCAGACCCCCTCCCTGTACCCCCTGCAGCCCCTGACTGGTGTGTTTTTATTCTTCCAACTGAGCAGTAAATATCTGATTGCTTGGTTTGAAACTTTGTTCATTCCGTATGAAATGATGCCTGAGTAGTCCCGATTTTGAATTCCACAGATAATTAAAACATTACTAATCATCTGGTGTTATGTGATTGACGGAGAACAAAGGTGAGGAGGAAGAGAGATTCCTTATTTTCCATGCGGATTTTAATGGAAGCCATAATTTCTACCCCCAATCAGCCTGGCAAACCGTGGAGCGCCCCCCACAGGCAGGCACTGGGCTAGAGCGAGGCATTGTTGACAACTGGGTTTTGTTCTCCATCCCCACAAAAGTGGGTTCAGTTTCAAGGGCCAGGACCATTCTTGGTGGATTTGTGAACCTGAGCCATCAGACCACGTAGCCTTGGGGCCGTAAAAATCTTCCTGAATTCAAACGTTCAAGGTTATTAAGTACCAAATTTTTCTGTATAATTACCCATTACAAAGTCAAGTTTGAAAAACAATACTTGAGTAATCCTTTTGCTTTCTCAGCTGCTCTTGGCAGAGAAGAACACTTGTATATTCACAGACCTTGTGCAATCTGATGTGTACTTCTTTGGAAAGAAAGAACCATAAAATACTTTAAAAGTTATAAATAGGTTCCAAGCTTGTCATATCCAAATTAGTACATATGGATGGCCCGAATCCTTTCCTACTCCATGGCAAGATCGATATTATTTTATTACTTACAGTAAATTATTATCCACTCTGTTCAGACTCTTTATTTGGCTATTAAGGGACAGAACCAAATGGACAAGTTTTACATTCTTTTATCCACTTTCTGCCCCCCATCCCCTTAAACTAATCATGGAAATCATCTCCAGGGCCAAGGCTTATGAAGAGTTTTGAGAATAGAGAGTACTATTTCACGAAGGTAGAGAAGCACTCTTCCACGCATGGAGGTGTCTGCTCCAGGAATAGCACGCTTTGGATAGTAAGTCACCTGCGGGCAGGGTTGGGCTCTCGGATGTCACTGTATTTCCTGCAGGTCAGTGAGATCCTCCACATAGTTCTACCCATACAAACACTGAAGAAGTATTTACTTATGAGAATAGTTATGTTAAATCTATTTACCAGCAAGCTTGATGGGGGAAAAATACTTTTTTAAAAGATTTTATTTATTTGAAAGAGAGAGCGTGTGCGTGCGTGAGCATGAGCAGGGGTGAAGGGGCAGAGGGAGAAGCAGGCTTCCCAATGGGCCCCATCCCGGAACCCCGAGATCATGACCCGAGCTGACCGCAGATGCTTCACCAACTGAGCCACCCAGGCGTCCCGAAATACATTCTTGATTAGAACTGACTACATGCCATGTAGTTAGGCCAGATTACTGGTTGTTTCATTTCATTTTGTTTTGTTGTTTTGGAAAAACAAGAATACGGCTTCAATGAGATTTTTTTGTTTTGGTGCTTTGGAAACATCTCTCTTCTTTTGAAAGCCTGTGCGTGCGTTCTGATGTAAAACCAACAGGTTTCCTGCCCCTTTGAGAAGTCCCACTATCGACTGTATTTCTGTTTCTCTCTGGGTGGGTTGGTAATTTTCTCTTAGTAACAGATAACAAATGTGGTAATAGGTTATGCTGCTATTTTAGTGTGCGGAAGAATTGGCAGTCAGAAACCCAGTCAGTTCAGCTCACATCCACCTCTGGGCAAATTCTATTCATGCTGCATTAAACCACATCTAAGCTGGTAAGTAAAGTGAAATGGAAATTTGTAACTTTTATTCACTCATGCTCCTTTCACATCAACATCCAGAAAATAGGAAGCAGGACAGGGTTCCTCGGAGAACAAGGGGAAGGCAAACATCAAAGTAAGGGGGACAAAAGGAGCTCACTGCCAACTTTGCACGACCAACAGTGGCCCTCTGAAGAAGTGGCATTAAGTGTATGCACCCTTGAAAATCCTATTATAGAAGTCTGAAAGGCAAGGCAGAGAACGCAAACATTTTAAACCCGCTGGGTGCTTCTTCCCATTTTAAATTCAGGGAGTACTTTGGCTTTAAGTCTTTAAACAGTGAGCCTCTGAGTTGCCAAGTTATTTTTACGGAGTGGATGATACTCTCCAAATGTATTGAATGACTCTCTCTTGATGACAGATTCATTCTAATGATGTTGCCTGTGTGCTGAGCAGAGGACACAGTGTGGTGGAAATAGCCCTGAGTCCCCAGACCTAGAGGCTAGCCCAGGCATTCATGAGCCATATTCAAGACTTTGTTTGGCTTCCTCCATGAAAACGTCTGAAGGCAGTTAGAAAAACCTGCAACAGTCTTCCCTGAGTGGA